GTTAGGTCCCTGACTTTTCTTTAATTACAGTATTTACTTTAGAATACTTTTAAATTGTTCCTTCACCCCTAGAGATGTAACAGTTTTACAACCTAGGACCTGGAGACATCTCTTAGAAATGTAATCATCAAGGAAGAGAAGCCGCTGCCTCCCAGTGTCTGTGAGAGAGTAAGAACCTAACTTCATTGGGCACATTGCCTCAACTCCTAAAATATCTCCCATCAGGAGTAAAGCCAATTAACAAGCACAAATGACCTGTGTGTCCCCCAGGCTCCCTCTTAAAAACTGTCCTTACCCCTTGTTTCATAGAATCAGGTATCCAGAAGTGGTCTGTGTTTTCTCCCCTATTGCTGGAGATAGTGTCAGAATAAAATCCATTTCTGTTTGCTCACTTTGAGCAAATTTTTCTTTAAGAGCTCCTATATATACTAGCTTTCTGATACTAGGTGAATTGATAAACTTTTCTGACAGAACTTGAAATAAATGAAACAATGCATGTCAGACCATGTGACACTAACACATTATACACCGAATAAATATTTCCTTAGCACTTTTTCTTTATCAAGAGAATACATTCTAATAGCCAACTCACTGATTTTTCTGGCACTGATCTTTGGTGTCAACACATATGAGCCTATCAGGTGTATGGAGGAATGTGGGTGCCCCTTATTGTATCTCTGCCTCCCTAATCATTAATCCAAAATATCTTGTAGTCTCTCTCTACCATGATGATAATATGGATGTTGAAATTAAATCCCTAGAGTCTACAAAGCAAAAGAAGTGCCCGAGTGAGAAACTACACCAGCCTTCAAAAGTTTTACTTATAATGGTGGTTGATTAAAATAGAAAAAAATAAGAATTATATCAGGCAGAATTAAGTGAGAGCTATGATAGAAGTATAAATACAGAATGATAAAATGAAAATTGTCAGCTTACTACTTTTGAAAGGCAGTAAAATGTTGGGAAAGATTTCTAATCCATTATTTAACTTAAAAATAATGAGTTTAATTAAAACAATTCTCAGGCGCTGGTGTCTGAGTTTCTCATTGTAGGAAGGTCTATCCTAGAAGCAAGGACAACTGGTCCCTGAATATTTCTTCTCAAATGTTGCCTGACTCTCTTCTGTCCTCTAGTGGGCATCTGTAGAATTATTTCAATTGTCCCAAACCCTTCATTTCAGGTTTAAGAATGTTAAAAACATTCTGTAGGCAAAAGAATTATAGAGAAAATAATTTAATGTTCTCTGAAAATATCATAAAAGTGAATCTTACCTCAAATTGGCTTCTAAATTAATCCTGGGTTCTGTGTTGGTTTGACCAACTAGCTGCCTTGTTGAATTCTAGAGATAAAATGATGAGTAAGAAGGGATAAAAAAAAGCAGCAAACATTATTGAGGACTTGCTGTGCATCAGAGACTGTGTTAAATGTTCCACATGCATTATTTCATTAAAGCCTCACAAGAAACTGTGAGGGGTGTGTATCTATCTATCTAGATAGGTAATATCCTCCTGAGTGGTAGGATGGTTAAGTGCATGTTCAAGATCACACAGCTAGCCCTTGAAATATTTGAAATATCTATCGCTCAACTATCTAATTCAAAAGTCCTTACACTTAGCAACTATGCATTCTTCTCTATCTATGAAACACACTATGAATAAAATTTCTCAGGTAGCAATGAATTGTATCAAAGAGCCCAAATATTATCATTCCTTTGCCTTATATTGCCACCACAATAGTTATACACTATCAAGATTCTTCTAAAAGTATCTAAAGAGGTAATGCCACTTCTTCACATTTATAATTCAACATACCTCACTCTGGCTCTGGCTTCAAACTGAAAATATTTTTAAGGTTACCAATGACCTTGTCATTGAAACATCAATGCTCTATGTGGATTTCTGCTGATCCTTACTGAAACTTCCAAGAGCATTAAACCCCAAAGACCACTAACTCCTTTTTCAGAATGGTTCTTCTTCTAACATCCATTCCGTTATTTCACATTGCTTTTCCTTTGTCATCGTCTTCCTCCTCCCTTTTCCTCCTGATCCTCAGCTTCATCTCAGTAAAGCTTTTCAGTTTATTTTGTTGTTGTTGTTTTTGGCATTTTTTAATATTTTATTTATTTATTTATTTATTATTTTTTGGTTTATTTTTTAGACTCAAATCCTCTACTTAAATTCAGGATGAAGGAACTTTTTAGCCTCATTCTGGTTTTCTGTTCATTCTCATAGATTAAAAGGTAAAAATGTAGCCCTGGCTATTGTAGCTCAGAGGTGGAGCATCGGCCCTGGAATGGAAGTAGCACCTTTTAGACGTTCCTTGGAGCTGCCCTACCCAGGTGTTCACGTCCATTCTTACTGGAATACAGGACACTTAATATTAAAAAGAAAAGAAGGACCAAGGATGCCTTTGCATGCAGTTTGCCAAGCTGTTGGCACATCTTTATTAAACTGGGTCAAGTGCTTTGGTGATTTTCCCATCAGGCCCTCCAGGTGCAGTGTTCTGGGATGAAGGGGTGTGTCG